TTTCATATTTATTATTGTGATTTGGTTTATCTACTTAGATATGAAACAAATATATTTTCATATACATACTCATAGGTTTCATTTTCTATTGTATTTGTGAAAATATTATATTTTTAGTTTATAGACTTCAATATCAGTTTATACATGTTTTACTAAGTCTACAAAAACATTTCACAAAGTTTCAAAAGTTGGTTTATGTCAAAACATCAAAATTCAAGTATCTCATATTTTCATGTTTTGGACTATTTTGCAAAAAGATGATATTTCTCATTTGGGAAGTCTTTTTAGAAAACCAGTTTAAGTCCTTTTTCGAAACCAGTCATTGTAGCATGTGTATTATCATGTCTACAATCATTCCCCAAAGTTTTACATTTTTCTGAATTTATTTGATATTTTTAAACAGTGTTTTAAAATCAGACAAACAGTTTTTCAGAACCTGTCATATCTGTTTTCGGTCGACCGCACCGGTCGACCGAATCAGGGTTTTAGTTTGGTTTAAGTGTGTTTAAAAAGCTTTTAAGCAAATTGAGAGTTTGTTTTGGTGAATCAAATTCCACAAGAGCTTGAGGAGATTATCTATTGAAGTTTGAGCTTCCAACTATCATCCCTCCATCTCTTGTTATCAAATTGAGAAGTTTTCTAAACTCAAACTCTAGCTTTACATTTATATACTTGATTGATTATCATTGTTCTTAAGCTAGATTTCATACTTGAGTTTAGTTGATTTGATCTTATTTACTCATTGTTACACACACACCCACATTGAGCTTATTGTATCTTTCATACATAGTATAGTTGGGTGGTGAGAGATTGTAACTTTGAGTTGTGCTTTCATTGTGTTCTCATCTATTGTAGAGAACAAATTTATATTTGTTACATTGTGAGTGTTGTAAGGTTTTCGGTGAGCTAGAAACCGAGTGTGTAGTGAGGTTTTCGGTGAGCTAGAAACCGAGTGTGAGGAGTGACGTTGATCGGTGAGCGTTGAAAACCGACACTGTAAGGTGTAAACGTTATTCGGGTGAACGTAGAAAACCCGGTTGATAGTGGATTTCTCCCCGGGAGTGGGGAGCGGAGACGTAGGACGGAAGGTCCGAACTCTGTGATCATATCTTGTGTTTGAGTGTGCTTTGGCGTTTATTTATACTTGTGTTTATAATTCTTGTCGCCATTGTCATTAGCTCATTATTTATATGATCCACTATCTAGTTCATATTGTTTACCCTTGTGTTAGTTTCATATCCTTGCATATATCATAGGATATATCTCTTTGTTGTTCGTATTGCTTATCCTAGCTTATATATAGTTGTTATATTTCATACTTGCTAGAATAACGTATTAATTATAATTAATTGGCATTTAAATCGGATTAGATTAGCATAAGACCCTAATCACCCCCCCCCCCCCCTCCCCCCCCCCCCCTCTAGGGTCTAACAGTCAAAACCTATGAATAAGATGACTCCAATATGTCAAAGCCTCATCACCAAAACTCATCTGTAATCCACTACTTGATATTAAACACTGATCCTCCTCCAGCAAGGAATGACTCATCAAATCTGCCACCTCATCTTGTTGCCCCAAAGTTTCATTTCTAATGAAGTGTCTCAAACTGCCTTGAGCTAGACACAAATGCAGAAACAGATTCCTCTTGAACTCCCTACCATAATCAGAGCGAAGTATTACCTTTCTGCCTATATATTTCTTCCACCTGTTGTTGACTACTAGGACTTCACTTCAACGGGACTTGGTTACAACCCACAAATGCCTGCAACAGTCTTCAACATAAGAAACCAAATACCTATTACCTCCCAATGATGCCTCCTTAGAAGTCCCCCAAATGCCTACGTGAACACCACCTAGAAGACCCTTTGCTCGATGAATAGAAGTGTCAAACTCCACTTCGGTCTTCTTGCTCATACCAACATGTTCACATGACTTTAATCTACAAGTCAAGGCACCTCTAACAAATCCATGCACGGTATCAACACTCGAATATTCCAGCCTCAAATGCCATAGTCTAGCCCAATCAAAAGAAGTTGTCAACTCTTCACCTATCACCGTGCTCCCAATCAAATAGTATAAATTATTCTTTCTGACGCCCTTCATCACAATCATGGACCCCAATGTGACCTTCAGAGATGCATCCTCTAAGATCATCCTATAGCCTACTGTCTCCAAAACTCCAAGTGAAATGATGTTCTTCTACAACTGTGGAACGAACCTCACTTCCTTCAACTCCCGAATCACCCTGTCACACATCTTGATCCGAACTGTACTGATACCACTAATAGAACATTCATGATCATTACCTATGAGCACGACATCGTCTCTTTCCAACTCCTCAAAGCTGGAGAACCAATTCCTTCTAGGGCAATGTGCTATGAAGCACCCGAATCCAACATCCACTTCGTAGAATCGACAACACAAACTGACGGTAGTGTAGGGCACGAGTAGCCCGAAGAATCCGAATCCGAATTGTCGCCACTAACCTTGGTAACATTCACCTATGAAGCTTGTATAACTTTCCCCTTATTCTTCCCGGCTCGATCTATCAACTTTGGGTATTCAGACTTTCAATACATCTTCTTTGTAAAAAGCACACTAATTCCTACCAACTGCATGATGTGCTTCTCTAGTCTGCGATCTCCTACTTCGGTTTGGACTCTTCCCTCTTGCGACCAATGCCCCCGCTACTGTATCAATTGAAGTCTTCTTATCTTTCTTCCTAAGCTAATAATTCACAAGAGCAGCGGTGATATCACTATACGAAAGAGATGTTTTCCCATTAATAAGAGTAATAACGAATGTCTCATATTTCTCGTCAGGCAAGGAACTCAACAACAATAATGCCTTATCCTCATCTTCGATCATAATATCCACATTCACCAAATCTGTAAGAAGCTTTGTGTAGTGGTTTATGTGCTCACTAATTGAGATTTCCTTCTTCAATTGGAAAGGATAAAGCCTCCTCTTTAAATGCAAGCGATTCTCAACACTCTTTATTAAATACTTGCTCTCTAGAATCTTTCAAATCTTCTTTGCTGAGGTCTCATTGATCATATCATACTTTAGATCTTGAGTTAGACAAGACCTAATCATACCACACGCCGTTCAATTCATCTTCTTTCAAACCTTTTCTTCAATGTCGTTCGATTTCCCGTTCAACTCCAAAGTATCCTCCAAATTTTGTGCGTTGAGCGTATCCAAGACTTCACATCTCCATAAACCAAAATTGTTTGTGTCATTAAACTTCTCCACGTCTATTTTTATAGAGTGAATATTCAAACTTTGAACGGTCTTCACGCCAAAAGCATCACCCTCAACTCCTTCTTTCTGAGCCATCTTCCTCAAAGCACCAACAAACCAATACGAAATAGACTGAAAGAAAATAGATCCAAAACTGCAAGAAATGTAGATTTTTACCTCTAACTGAAACCCTAACAAGAGCCTCCGAAAGATCTCACCCTCACATGATGGAAGACAAGATCCACAATAGTAAAAATCCCGTCTTTGTCATCAACTGAAACCCTAGACGAGCTTCCAAAGCGATCTACTCCTCCACCTGATCCCAAGCGTAACCTGAAGCTCTGATACACTTGTTGGGGGTGCCGAGGACAAACTAAATGCCGAGAGAGAAGGCCAAACACAATCACAATAACATCACAAACACAAACAAACAAATTTTACGTGGTTCAGTAAGTTGCCTACGTCCATGGGACAAGAAGGGAATGAGTTTTTACTAATAGAGAAGGAGAGTACAAATCGAGATTACAAAATCACTCAAACTCACCAATTAATCTCACAAACAAAGCTCTTATCTCTAAAACAAAACCCTAACCAATAGCTTAGAAAAACTCTCTTTTCTGTGCTCAAAACTACCCCCTTTTCGACTCCCAAGAAACCCTAAAATGTGTTTGTATTTATACCAAACATAAATCCCAATCAGAACAGGAAACCGTAATCAGACCCAAAATCCCGATCTGGTCGACCGGCATATATTCCCAGTCGACCGGCCAGAACACGAAAATCAGTTCTGAATTCAAACCCTGTATCAGTCGACCAGAATTATCCATCGGGCGACCGGATAACGAAGTTGGTCGACCGGCATTTTACCTCGGTCGACCGCCAGAGTGTCTGAAACAAAAGCCTGTAGCGTGCACGTTTCCGGTCGACCGGCCTAGCCTCGCGATCGACCGGACAACACCAAAATCATGTCTGCTTCAAAAATCCTAAACTTCGTCGCCGTGTCGCCATTTCTACAGGGATTTCGAGGAGGGGGTGTTGGGTTTCGAGTACGTAGTAGATCAAGAAGGTTTTTAGGGGTTTGGGGTGTGGATTTGGGCTAGGATGAGTAGGTTGGGAGAGGAGGAGGCAGAAGAGGGTAGAGGTGGTAGCCATTGATTAGAGATAACAAGAAGGCACTGAGAGTTGCATGTACGTAGAAATCTTGTGATAAGAAAAGATAAAAAGAAAAAAAAATTCTGCTAAAAAGTCCCTTTAGTCTCTAATAAGAAAAATTCTCCAATGACCCAAAATATGGGACCAATAGGGGGAACAAGTAATGTGTCACACTCCTATTACATAATGAGTTGAACATCATTAATGATGACCAGCTCATTATGCAATAGGAGGGGGGCACCTCACTAATAAATAAGATTAATGAGAATCACCTATATTTAGGTCCTCCTAGCGATACTCATTACTTAATTAGCACAATCAGTACATGAATCATAGCGTCATCACAACTTCAATCTTAAACATTGATAGCGGAGCATTTATGATATGCCGCTTTATGAAATATGATTTTGTAAGGAATGCGCTCGGTGGGGAGCTTTCTTTTCCACAAATAAACCTAAAATATTTGTACTGGAGCCCAATAAGATCCATTATCTCCGGCTTCTCTCCCAAACCGAGAAAGGGGTTGCACGTCGCGAAGAGAGATTGTTTCCCCGTACCGATTTTGTTGGGCTTTTTCTCTGCAACTGTTCACACACGCAGAGCCTTGATTTACTTACAGCCCAGAGTTACCGTCTAGCCCTTGACAAAGTTCCCTTTTGCATCTGGTCCCTAACTTTTCATCAATTTAAAGAAACACACCGGTTCAGGCAGGACCCATAACCTCTTTAGCCTCCCTTCTCGACGCCGAGCCACCGCTCTCTCTCTCTCTACCCCCCCTCAACAAAAAAGTCTTCCCTTCTCTCTCGATCTCCTCTCAAAAGGTAAAATATTTGGATCACTGGGGTTAGGGTTTTTAGGGTTTCTCTTCCAATTCGTAGGAAGAGAGAACAAAGGCGGAGGTAGCATCGGTCGGCTTTGCCTCTTCGCTCCTGCCGACCGCACCATCTACGTCTGTAAATTTCCGTACATATTGTGTGTATTTTTTTTACAGATTTTAGCGTTTTGTTTCGGGGAGCTTCAACTGTTGGATCATCATCGGAATTATATCGGGTTGAAAGGAGGGGTCCTTTACGATTGGGCTCTGCTATGAATCATGATTGGGACCCAAAAGTACTACTTGAGTGATATCTTGTATGATTCTGCGATGAGATGGTGAGTGCCATTCTTAGTAGGAGCCAATCAGCTCGCATCAGGACTCAGAGCTTCAACAGCCCCAGGGCTTCTCTAGTGAAAAGAAAGTGGTGGGCTCCTGAATCCTTCTTAAATGTCCTCCCTGTAGTATTAATCTTGATAGCCCTCGTTCTCGTGCTTGGATCTGTTGCCTATTCGTCATATTTCCGGGATTTAAGCCGTGGGAATTTGGTCCCGGGGCTTGTTGACCGGGATGAGAAATGTGATGTCTTTGAAGGAAGCTGGGTGAGGGATGGCAACTACCCCCTTTATAATAGCTCTGAGTGCCCGTTCGCCGAAAGGGGTTTCAACTGTTTGGCCAACGGGAGGAAGGACACGGAGTATCAGAAGTGGAGGTGGAAGCCGAAGCGCTGTGATGTACCCAGGTTTAATGCTTCGGAGATTTTGGAGAGGCTGAGAGATAAAAGGGTGGTCTTTGTGGGAGATTCGATGAGCAGGACACAGTGGGAGTCTTTGATCTGTATGCTTATGACTGGTGTGAGTGATCCTAACAGTGTTTATGAAGTTAACGGGAATCAGATCTCCAAGACGATTCGGTTTTTGGGCGTTTACTTCCAGGCTTTTAATCTTAGAGTGGAGTTCTTCAGGTCTGTCTATCTTGTGCAGCAGGGCTTGCCACCTAAGCATGCTCCATCGAGGGTCAAGTCGGCGCTCAGGCTGGACAAGATGGATGAAATAAATAGGAAATGGGTTGATGCGGATGTTTTGATTTTCAATTCTGGTCACTGGTGGACGAGGACTAAACTAATTGACTCGTAAGTTTTAAATTTTGATTCTGTTTATTTCAATTTCTGTTATATCTTGCATGAGCTGCGTGATTATTTCCATGTCCTTTTGTGCCTTTGCTAATATGGGAGCTTACATTCTGTGGAATTTGCAAATGTGCAGTGTTTGGTTTATGTCTATTAGTAAAATTGCTCAATAGGCTTGTGTATTAGCTTGTATCTAGATAGCCTATTATCTGAGTTACTGCATATACTCTGCCAATTTGCCTGATATTGTGTGGCTAACATTCTGAACGTACTAAAAATATCTAACATAATATGCCTTAGGAAAAGGGTTGATATGTTCTGAAGATTTTCAGGCTTCAGGTTGAGTTGGCAGTGGATAACCACTTACTGCATGTTTAAATGACTAGAAAATCCTGATCTTTATGGAACACGGGTTGATCAATTTTTATGAATGAGCAATCAGTTATACACTAGTTTAATCTTCTCAAGGACACAACTTTGATGAGAAAGACCTAATGTAACTGCTATGCAACTTTGATAAGAAAGACCTAATCTATAAATTACATCTGTAATCATGTCATTTTTGCAAGTAACTGCTATGCCCAGTTCCTTTTCTTTTTCCATCTGTCTGGGTATTACATCTAGTCTTCGTCTTCATAGTTCTATTCTTTTCCCCGTAATTTGGCATGATGTTCATCATCCCAATTGAACAAATATAGATGCAAGTTAGGGCCCGTTTGGATCGTTTTTTTGGAGCTGTAAAATGGGGGAAAGCTGCCAAAAATGTCAGCTTTTTGGTAGCTTTCCCCCAAAATCGCCTCTTTAAGAGGTGATTTTGGGGGAAAGCTGCCAAAAAGCTAACATTTTTGGCAGCTTTCCCCCATTTTACAGCTCCAAAAAATCAATCCAAATGGGCCCTTACTCATTCTTATCTACCAGTTCACTTGTTGCATGTTCAAAGGCAAAACTTCAGAATTTCTATGTGAATGTTTCTTGGGCAGACATGTTTCTAGCTAGTTATTTCCTCTGTCACCTTAGTTATATTCTGGTCAGTATTAGCGTTCTTTAAATTTTTTTATGTTTGTCATTAGGCATGCAATTAGGAAGTGGTTGCCCTTGGGAGTATATTTCCAATTTAAAGACGGAAGAAAATATACTAATTGACATTTTCCAAATATAGAGGCTTTATTGAAAGATTATATCTCTTCTAGAAGGGAAAGGTTGAAGTCAATAGACAATTCTTTACGAACAAACTATCTAGACAATTGACAAGTGATACTTGCTTTCCATCTAGTCTTTGACCTTAATATCCAGGTCAGTTGAATAAATTATCATGGTGGGATGTTCGTATAGAGTTTGCTGCAATTTGTGTCAAGAGTTGGGAAATGGTAATATATATTTTGTTACAAGTATCAAGTTTTTGTGCCTCTGGCCTGAGGCCCGGCCCCAATTATTTACTAAGAGCTGGTCCTGGTCCTGTGTAATTAAACCTGACGTCAGGTTAACCAGGGTGCTACTCGGGCTTCGGCGAAAAAAAGCACCTAGGACCGGATTAGTGCCCAGTCTGGTGGTGGCCTACCTTAGAGCTTGTTTTAAGGTGCTTCTTGGGTCTATTATATGGCACGAAGGTTTGAGAATACATCGTAGCTGAGTTGTATTGGCCCATCTGAAGGTTCAAACATGGTTTTAAAAAGCTCGTCGAACCTACGCTGCGGACCTGCTACCTGGCACCGCACAAGTGTTTTCCTACTAACTTATAGAAATATCTTAAGAGTATATAAGTCAGAAAAATACCCTACATACAGAAGCTGTGGTAGCATGTAACAGTTGTAGCTATTGAAGAGAAGCAAGTCTGGGAAGGTGGATGAGAAGAGGTAGCAGCTATGGCAACGAAAAAGAAGATGAAAGCAATGGAACTGTTTTATAAGGAAGCAGAAGGGGGAGGAGGGCAGCATGGATGAGACTCTAGATTAAAAAGGTGTAGGCTGTGAACCGAAAGTTTAATTAAATGGGAGGAAAGAATCAAAATGTACCTAGTGGAGGCATAGCCTCAGAAGCAGAGGGGTTGATGTCGTTGTTGGTGGCACACAAGAGAGATCCAACCTAGATTTACATCAATTCTGTAGGCCATTTTAAGCAGGCCAACATTGAGCAGCTTGCTTTTCTATCTTGAGTTCTTAAGTGGTCCAAGTGCTTCATTTGCCTTCCTAGGGTTTGTGTGGTGTGTTCTGCAGCGTAGCAGCTAAGCATCTGCTTAAGGAACAGTCTGGACCATATTTACAAGACGAAAAATCTAATAAGGGGTAACCCTTTGCCTCTCACTTCTTATAAAGTTGGTTCGACAGGGTACTGGAAGAAGCTTACTGACAATCCAATTTCCTAATTTTTTTGTTCCAAACAATTATATAAAGTAAAACGTAGAATTTTAATTTGAAGGGTCAACTGAATGTATAACACCTTCAAATGAAAACATTAAACCATTATCAATGCAAATAATGACTCATTTTCCAGAGTTTTTTGCTATTAGCCTCATAGCTTATCTTTAATATTTTTAAGTTCACTACATTGGGGACATTGAAGTGTGAGTATATACGGTGTTGGGGGCCTTGTTTCTCTATTGAAATTGTAGTATCGAAGGTTGACTACAAGTTTATAGAAAGCACTAGGTGTTGAACCGGATGCCTTGAGCCTAGGCGCCTGGGCGGAAGCCTAAGTGGGGACTAGGCATTTTCCTATTTTTCTAGTTTAATTACACTTACTGGTAGTAAATTCCGATGTTATAGAAAGTTTAGGAGTTGGACTGACACCAAGATAGATTTCTTAAATGGTAGGGGAGGTTTTGCTGAAGGTCGAGAGAGATAGAGGAGGTGTTCATAGTTAGAGTTTGGAGGAGGTTGGAGGAGGTTGGAGGATGTGGAGATTGCAATGGAGGAAATCACGATCGATGTCAGAAGGGTGTAGTCCATGTATGCAGACCATGCTCACCTAGATGCTCCCAAAATGTAGGTAGGCAGCCTAGGTACCACTTAGGCGCTAGGCAACCCAGGTACCTAGGCGCTAGGTAGGTGGCTAAGGTGCCTCGTAGGCTTAGGTAGGCTAGGCGGAGGCTTTTTAAAACATTGGTTGACTATGCAAGAGCCTTAAGGCCTATCTGAGCAGCTGACCATCAATAATATAAATTTGTAGGAACTTGATGAACTGGTACTTATATGTTTACAGTAATAACCACTAATCTTTATGGGCAGTTGGCATGCTTTCGATCTTTTGAATTTTTCTAGTATTATTTGTACACAGAAAAGTTAATTCAAGATGTGTAATGGGTATTGTACATTGATTCTGTCATTCATACAACATAATGGTTCATCACATAAATGCCTCAAAAAATCACTTTTTTGAAGGTCTTGTCATGAATTTTTTTCTGATCACCATGAACTTGAGGAATTCAACAAGAAGTTACCAAACACAAGCATACAATTCAAGTCTGGTCACCCACTTGTTTATGGACTTTTGGATAATCTTTTTCATCTACCCTCTCAGTGTTCCTCATACCTTGTCTGTGTTCTACTGAGGCATCAACTCTTTTAGGTATATAGCAGGCATATTTCTTCAGGAAAATTGGTTATTATAAGTTTTATGCAGATAATATATTATGCATCCTGTCATTTCCTTATCTTTAACATGAATTACTTTTTTTATCATTCTGTGCTGAACATATTATTTTAGGTTAAATAGGTTCTTAGTTTCTTACTATGTTAATGATGGTTACTCACAAAAAAAGTTTTCTTACAGGGGTTGCTATTTTCAGGCTGCACAATCATTAAAGCTTGGACTATCTATAACCTCTGCCTTTAGGATGGCATTGAACACCTGGGCAAGTTGGGTTGAAACGAGGATCAATACAAACAAAACTCATGTCTTCTTTCGGACATATGAGCCTTCTCATTGGAGGTATGCTTTTGAGAATTTTGATAGTATTAGAAATGTGCTCTTTTCTAAGCCCATATATTGATTTGTATATGTTATTGGCTTGAGCTCCAAATGGACATAAGACCTGAAAACAGGTTTTACCTGCCCTACGGCATTTTCTATTTTAACAATTCTCTATTCTTTATTAGGCCTTATCCTGGTTCACATTAAGTAGTTTCTAGTGGATCAATCTTAATTTTCTGTGTACTCTCACATTCAGTCATTCTGAACTGTTCATGGTCCGTATCTGCAAATTGGATTAACTGTAGTGAACTGGCAATTGTTTTTTATTTACAATAATTTCAGAAAGCATAATATCAGTTGAGGAATGGCAGAGCACCTGAGTCAATTAGTTGGGCGGTTACCTATCACATGCCATGAGACTAAATTCCTCAAACTGAGATGCGAGTAATGGCTCCCTTTGGTCCTTGGCTTACACAGTCGGCAGATATTTATTATACTTTTTGATTGCTTATCATTAAATGAGCTCTTAATCAGACCATATTTAGAATGTTGAATCAATTTGAAGTACTTCTGATTATAGACTTTGCACAAAGATCAGAGCAGCTAATAATTCAGAAAACATTCCTTTCATAGTGGATAATTCCCGCAAATATAAGAGACTTACTTTCTTCTGGAGGAATAGATTCCAAATGTAGATACGGAGTGAGAAACATACATAAGGGCTTCTGTTCTTAAAACCTATAGTGAATGCAGCTGCGGACGCCATATTCAGTATGTAGAATCAATTTGAAGTACTTTTGATTATAGACTTTGCACAAAGATCTGAGCAGTTGATAATTCTAGAAACACTCCTTTATGATGGACAATTTGAAGCAGAAAAATAAAAGAAACTTGCTTTCTTCCGGAGGAATAGATTCCTAATTATGATACAGAGTGAGAAATATAAATAAGGGCTTCTGTTTGTTAAACCTGTAGAGAATGTGGCTGTGGACTAACTCTCTAAGCAAAATGTACAGTTCTCGGCATGGTTTTAAATATCGGTCGATAATCCGATATTATCGCCGAGTTATCGGATTTAGGAGCTTTCCGCTAGGATAAGTAGGATTTTTAATCGGTTATCATTTTTTGAGGTTTATCGGCGAGTTATCGGCGATAAATGCACTTATCGGCCGATAAGTAAGGCTCTAAATATCGGCTTTATCGGCCGATAAGTAGGATTTGAGAGCTTTTACTTTTTTTGGATTTGCTCTTTGAATGTTTACAAATTATAAACTATTTGTTGCTTTTGGAACTTTGTTGATTGGTGATTAGCTTATGTTTGTTTATGGATATTGATAATGGCTCATAACTACTAAATATCAACTTAGTAAGTTAGTTTATGAATCTCATGATTAAACAATAATTATGTAGATGCGTAGATGGTTCTTCATTCTTGATGTTATCTTATTATTTGCTTGTTTATTATTCTATTTTGACTAAGATTATATTTTTTTTCAAGCTTATGTTTGTTTATTATTGGCTAGTATATTACTCCGATAAATACTACTTATCCCCGATATATCCCCGATTTTCGCTATCCGATAAGGATTTTGATCGTCCGATAAATCCCCGATAACCGACATTTAAAACCTTAGTTCTCGGTATGCACACACAGCAGGTCTAGATACCCAGGGGTTACGAGAAGCTAGGCTGCCCGTAACTTGTTTGGTGGTTTTTTGGGGGTTATTGTTATTATTATTATTATTATTTATTTTTTTTTTTGGGGGGGGGGGGGGGGGGGGGGGGGGGGTC